GGGCTGTGCCCCTCGGAGCACCACGGGCACAGTGCTCTGTCCTCACCCACTCTCCCTGCCCACAGGCTGGAAGCTGAACCCGGTGGTGGGAGCAGTCTACGGCCCCGAATTCTACGCAGGTAACGTCGGGTTGTGGCAGTACCTGCTGCAAGTTTCYCCCAAAGTCATCTCTGCACTGTGTCCACTGCTGCTCTGTGCAGTGACAGCCCCTGGTCCCTCTCCCTGTCCTTKGTGCCTGCCAGGACAGTTCCCCCTGTGCCATCCCCTTGTCCAGCATCCTCACGGGCCATGTCCCTGCCACATGGGGTACAGGGTGGGCTCCATGCAGGTGTCCTGCGGGGCTGTGTCACCTGCTGTGGAAAGCCCACGGGTGTCCCCTCCCTCCTGCAGTGACAGGGTTCCCATATCCCACCACGGGGACGGCTGTGGCCTACCGAGGGGCACACCTACGGGGACGAGGACGTGCTGTGTACAACACCTTCAGGGCTGCGCCACCACCGCCCCCCATCCCCACCTACGGCGCGTGAGTACCGGGGCACCCTGCTCGGGGCGGGGAGGGTGTGCTGCTGCAGTGCCAGGTCTGCGGGATTGGCATCGTTTCATGGTCTGTGGGATTGGCATCGTGCCACCGTCTGCGGGATTGGCATCGTGCCACGGTCTGCGGGATTGGCATCGTGCCACGGTCTGTGGGATTGGCATCGTGCCACGGTCTGTGGGATTGGCATCGTTTCATGGTCTGCGGGATTGGCATCGCGCTCCTGCCAATCGAGGGGAATGGGCTGCGGCCCAGGCTCACCTGCTGGCCACTCCCTGCTCTTGGGGTGACCCACACGCTCACCAGCCCCCTGTGTGCCAAGGCACAGGCCGTTATTGCAGCCAGCATGGTTGGTTTAATGGAAACTCTGGGTCGGCACATGTGGCTGCCATGGCGTTGGTCACAGACGCAGCTGTGGCCATCTGCGGCCACTTGGCCGCTCCCAGCAGCGATCCTGCCCTCAGATCCTCCTCTGCCACACCCTGCCCTTGGCTGTGCCCTCTGCTTGTCCCAAGTCCCTGCCCAGAAGTGCCTTCACAGCCTGGACATCCCTTCTTGCCCCTGGGCTGCGATGCTGAGGCAGTTCCCCATCCTCTGCCCTCACCCCACTGTGCCCATCCAGGGCCAGTGATTGCCAGGCTCTGATGCCTCTGCCTCCTTTCCAGGGTCGTCTACCAGGACGGGTTCTACGGAGCTGAGATCTACGTAAGTGGCACAGTGCCCAGGGCTGGGCTGTGATGGGGACCGGGGCAGGTGGCACATGGTTCCATGGTGGGCTCTGCCCCCATCCCTTCTGCTGGGAGGGAGGCAGTGGGAGCACAAACAGAGCATGGCTTCTCCAGGGTGAGCTGGGTGGCACTGCACAGGGTCCTGTGCCCAGTCCCGTGCCCCTGCCAGCCCCCTTGCAGGGCTGGGATTTACAGCCTCAGTGCCTTGCACCCGCRTTTAACCTCCGTGTCTGAGGAGCCAGCGGCGATATTTCAGGCGGGCACTGAAGGATTTATCTAACRTGACACTTCATTAAAGCGAGCGGGGAGGTGACATTCTCTTCTCTGGAAATTTAATTTTTTAAGGTTAATGTTTGTGAAAGCCCCTGGGGAATGGTAATGAGGCTGGTGCGTGCCCGGTGGCACTGGCACCAGCTTTCTGTGGGCCCCACACCACTCTGTGCAGTGCCAGGGTGCCCCCAGCCCAAATCCCGGTGGGTGCTGCCCCTTGACCAGTGTCTCCTCCCTGCAGGGGGGTTATGCTGCCTACAGGTACGCCCAGCCCGCAGCAGCAGCGGCCGCATACAGCGACAGGTGAGCACCTGGGGGGACCCGGGGTCAGTCCTGCCCTGCCCACGCTGACACCCCCAGCTTTGTGTGCCTGGGAAGGGACTGGGTTAGTGTGGGGAGGGTATCCTGCTGTCCTCAGGAGCAGGAAAGGGCTGGCACCGCTGCAGGGGGAGCAGGGAGGTCCCCGGGGCTCTGCAGGGCACAGGAGCCCCGCTGATGTCATGACACCCTTGGCTGTGTTTGCTCCTAGTTACGGCAGAGTGTACGCAGCAGCAGACCCCTACCACCACACCATCGGCCCCGCCGCCACCTACAGCATTGGCACCATGGTAAGAGCAGCCCCTCGGCCTTCCTCTGCTTCCCGGGGGGCTGCACACAGCCTGGGGAGGGGTCTGGCACCGCGGGGGCACTGCGGGGCTGTGGGAGGGGAGCGGGGATGGCGCAGCCCCTGCCTGGCTCTGTCTGCAGGAGAGGAGCCCCCACCCTGCACCTCTGCCCTCACCCTGCACACCCTGCCAGTCCTGCCTACACACAGCACTGCCCCGCTGCCCCCACATCACTGCCCAGTGAGCTTCCAGGACCCCTCTGTCATCATCCTCCCACACCACTGCCCATTCAGCTTCCAGGACCCCTCTGTCATCCCCCCACACCACTGCCCATTCAGCTTTCAGGACCCCTCTGTCATCCCCCCACACCACTGCCCATTCAGCTTCCAGGACCCCTCTGTCATCCCAGTGCAGGACAGCGTCCCCAGGGCCCTGCACGCAGCACACACACACGGGGAGCACTGCAGCCCCTCACGCACCACAGCTCTTGGCCRGCTCTGACAGCATCAAAGATGAAAAATCACACTCACGGCTCGGATCTCAAAGCCAATCTGCCTTTTTCTGCCGTTTTTTACTCCCTTGGCACTCCCAGGCCTGGGCAGCAGCTAGTGAGGGGCCACGGGCACTGCATCCTCGGGGTTTTGAGCTCGGTGCCGCAGCAGGGATGGGGACAGGCTCCTTGGCAGGCATGGCACAGCAGTGCCACRCTGGAGGCACACGGCAGCCTCCCAGGGCAGTGCCCACAGCTGCCACAGAGCCTGGGAAGCACTGGGCACCCTGGCCCTGCCTGCCCCTCACGTCCCAAGGACAGCAGCGATTTGGTTTCATTTGAAAGAGGAAAAAAAAGAAAGAAGAGAAAAAAGGGAAGATCTAGGCTTTGGCTATCTCCGAATACTGATTGGCTTTTTTTTCATCTTTGATGTTGCAGGCTAGTCTATACCGAGGAGGGTACAGCCGCTTCACTCCCTACTAGCAAGACAGACCCAGCCCCCCCACCACTGCCCCTGATGCTCACTAGCACCAAACCAAACCAGGCAGACAGAGCCGAGGCCGAGCCTGCGGAGGAGCCGCGGGTGCTGCCGGGGCTGGCGCTGGGCTCTGTGGGGCCACAGCACCCCACACCCTTAGGGTTACCTCAGCTGCTCCATCCTGCTGCCCGCCCGCCTCTCCTGCACCATCTGCCCGCCCTGGGGACCGCAGGGAGCCCATGGCCCCAGCAGCACCCCGTTCCCACAGCTGAGGGGTGGGGTACCCCACGGGCACTGCCCCGCAGGGGATGCAGAGGGCAGGCGGGGATGCTCAGCGGTGGGGATGCTCTTTCCACACGTGCTGGGGCTCAGGCTGACTGCRGCCCCCCAAGCAGCCCCTCTGCCCCATAGGAGAGAGAGGAGCCAGCTGGGGTTGCTGCCAGCTCGGGACTGAYGAGGCTGGGGTGGGTTCAGGACCCTGGGGCAGCCCCCCGGGCAGTAATGCTCCTCTGGCCCGATGGCACTGCTCTGCAGGATGGATTGGGGTGGGCTGGGCTGGCTGTGGGCTCACAGGCTGGCATGGTGCCCGTGTGCCCCCTGGCCAGCAGCTCGGCCTGCCTGCTCCAGCCAAAGACCTGCCTCTCTTGTTTCTGTTGTAGTGAACCCGTTGCTGTTTCCTTCTGGGACCAAGAAGGGCAAAAAAATCCACACACACACACAAAAAAAAAAGAACCCCAAAATACAAAAATTAAAAGCAAAGCAACAAAAAGAAAACAAACAAAAAAACCAACCAAACAAAAAAAACAAAGCCAAGCGGCAGCAGCCAAGTGAGTCCCAAACTGTCCACACGCACCGAGCGAGCGAGTCCCAGAGGAGCCGCGGCAAGCACTGGCGGTCGGACACGCCGGAGGGACCCCCAGCGCCYCGGCCCCGCAGCCCGGCAGGGAGGGAGCGCGCAGGAGGCGCGGGGTCCGCGGGGTCCGTGGGGCTCTCGCCCGCCTGGGTCGCGGGGCCTGGGCACCACGTCTTCCTTTCCCYGGTGCGGCAGCAATGGGGGTGCCGGCGGAGCGCTGCGCCCTGCCCGGCTCAGGGGACCGGGTGACGGGCTGGGGACCCGGCTCGGTGCCACCCGAGCCCCGGCGCTGGCGGCCATCAGCGTGTCAAGGGTGCGAGGCCTCAAGTCCAGCACGGAACTGGGGCGGCGGCGCGGCCGCGGTGCTGAGGCGATGCAGGGGATGAGCCTCTGCCTTTTAAAGGGAACTTTTGTTMGGAGGAGCTTGCAACTCGCTTGTGACCCCTTCCCCTCCTTCCTCCCTCCATCCCTGACAGCCGCGCTCCCACCCTGCCCGGAGCAGCCCTGACCGGCGCTGGGCCGGGCGCTGCCCCAGTCCCGCTCCCGCTCGCTCTGTGGCACGGGACGCGCTCACGGCCACCCGTCCGTGCCCAGGCAGCGGCCCCGAGCCGCGGATCGCCCACGGGCACGCACCCCGGCCCAGGGTGGGCTGCAGCTGCGGGCACGCTGGGTGCGGTGCCAGTGGCACAGGGCGCTGCGGAGCCCGYGCTGGGGTGCAGCACTGTCCCACGCCCTTACGGCTCCGCCACTCCTCAAACCTCACTTTATAGTCTGCAGACACCCCCGACGCCCCAGCGATGAGCTCCCCCTTTTCTATTCCCAGTGTACATAGCCCCGCTCCCCGGCCCTGTACAAAGCTCCGTCCATCGCTGTACTGGCTTCTCCCTTACAGCACCCCTGCGCCGCCCCAGCGCGCAGGCTGGCGCCGGCCCATCCTGTATGCTTCAAAGTGTGAACATTCTAATAAACAGTATTATTATTATTATTATTACTATTATTATTATTATTATTATTATTGAAATTATTAATAAAGATTTCTTTCTTCAACTAGGGCGACTCAGGTTTTGATTGGTTGAGGTGCGGGGGCGCGGGGCTGTGGCTGCTACAGTGGATCCGGCCGTGCTGGGCAGGGGCCACTGCCTGTGGGCAACTGGGGGAGCCTTGGGGYCCCCAAACTCAGCATGGTGAGGGAGCAGGGTGCTGCATGAGGAGCGCTCTCATGGCTGGGCCAAGCCCTTCATTCTCCAGCCTTCAGGTAATTCATTCCTGAGCACGTTTTCCGCCTCAGGAGCAGCAGCTCCATCGCTGACATTGGTGTCCCTGRTGGAGCCCACGTTGTTTGGGGACAGGGCTTGGGACCCCACTGCAGGAGCRCTCGCCTGCTCCTGCCAGCTAATTGCTTGTTCACCAGACTGTGAGTAAATAATTGCTGCTATAAATTTTCTCTCCTCCTCACAAGATGCTCAGGGGAGGCAGCGCAGGCTGGTGGCATTAATGAGCACAGTGGTCACCCATGCTGGGCTGCTCCTCAGGGCTGCCACAGATCCCATGCTGGCAGCTCCCCACCAGGCTGAGCCCTGAGGGGATGTGTGGTGGGCATCCTGAGGTCTTRGGGCACCTAAACCCAGCCTGGGTCACACAGCCTGGGGCAGTGAGGGCTGCAGGAGCTGGCGGGGTTCTCAGGGCAGGTGCCTCAGTCTGGGGTCACACATGTCGGGGGGTCCCTGCCAGCCACTTGCAGGGTCCTGRTCAGCACCCAGTGGGCCCTCACAGTAAGAAGAGGGACCCAGCAACCCAGGGTGATAAAATGCAGCCTCCATCCTCCGAGCCCCCTGCCCACAGCCCGCCTGCCACACGGAGCAGATGACACGGGCTGCACCACGGTTGCTTTACTGCCCATCCAAGCCTGGTGCGGAATAGACCAGCACGAGGCGGCCCCAGCGCTCGGGGTCCATGGGCAGCTCATTCTGCAGCACCGGCTCCACCAGCAGCTCCAGCCGGCACGACTGCCCGGGGTCTGGCTGCGGCACCRCCAGCCCCACGGCGCGGAACAGGCAGCCCTGCGCCAGCCCCAGCAGCTGCGGCGCCGTCTGGCCCAGGCGGCACCGGGCACCCTGGCTCAGCACCCGGAACCATCTGGCACGGCCGGGAGGGAAGGACCAGCGCAGGGTGAGGCTGAGCRAGAGCTGCTGCGGCTCGGGGCCCTSCTGCCACCAGAGCTGCGAGGCCGTCACACTGTGCACCTGCGCCGGGGAGGATGTCACACTGGCTGTGTCCAGCACCTGGAGGAGAACCACAGCGCTCTCAGGGCCGGGCCAAAAAGCAGCCACCTGCCCTCCCAGAACAAGGGTGGCACTGGGGCAGGTGTCACCACCCAGCAGTGGCAGGCACTCACCCGGACCTCCCCAAGGAGGCAGCTGAAGGATGTCTCCTGCAGGCTGGGCTGCTGGCGGGACACGATTACAGAGAGGTCTCGCAGGCTGCAGTCCTGCAGCTCCAGCTCGTAGCACCTGAGAGGGACGGGGCAGAGCAGCAATGGTGCCAGGSAGCCCTGGCATGCCGTGGCTGCCCGTGGACACAGGATGCAGGCAGGGCACTCACCGGCTGGTCCAGCCATGCGAGTTACGGTGGCAGGCAGCGAGCAGCTTGGCGAGGCCAGGCGGCGGTGCTGGGAGGAACCGGGGGTGGTAGCGGCCGTTGGGCTCTGCAGGAGGGAGCCAGGTCAGGRCACGAGGGAATGAGCTGGTCCTGTGCTCCCCAGCAGGTGCTCATTGCAGAGAGAACAGGGGGACAGGCTCCTCACCGGGCAGGGAGGTGGGGTTGCCCTCGAGGCAGATCCCCGAGTCCCAGGTAGTGACCTCCAGTGCCACCGTGAAGTCATCGGGCTGCGGCCCCTCCAGCTTGTAGAGCAGGGTCACAAAGAGCTTGGGAGGGGCTGGCATCTGCAAAGAGAAGAGGCTGATGACCCCAAATCCACCCAGAGAGAGACAGAGACAGAGAGAGAGACAAAGAGAAGGTGCATCGGGTTAGGTGTGCTGGGCAGTGCGGGCAGAGCCTGGGCACGCTTGCCACAAGACCCTGGGGMCACACAGCTCAGGCCATGCAAGCCATGCCATGGTGACATGGTGCCAGCCCAGGGCTGAGGAGGGGCCAGAGGGCTTTGTCCCAACTCACCGGACAGCCACGTGCTCCTCGCCGGGCGGGATGGTGCCCTGCAGCCGCAGCGAGCTGCCCCCGCACCAGGCGTCCTGCAGGCAGCAGCTGGTGCTCAGCCTGCCCTGCTGCTCTGGGTACAGCGGCTGGATGTCCTGCGCACTCAGGTCGAACCAGGGCCCAGACTCTTCATCCTACATCACAGGAGAGCTGGGCTGGGGCAGGCGAGAGCAGGGTCCCTGCTGCCCAGTCCAGCCCAGCCCAGCCCAGCCCAGCCCAGCCCAGCCCAGCTCAGTCTGACCAGAATAGAGCTGTCACCCTGTGCTCACCTTCCCATCCAGGAACGTGCTGGTGCCCATGCCCAGGCTGAAGGAGGTGGCGAGGGGCAGCGTGCAAATGCTGTGCGTGGGCAGGTACTCGGCCAGCAAGCCCCAGAACCTGGAGGCAGAGGGGGGTGTCAGGGCAGATCCCTGTTATGGTCACTGCCCTGCAGGGCCTCAGGTATCGCTTCATCTGGGGCAGAATGGGGCCAGCAGCCATGGTGTCTGACAGCCACCGTGTCCTGACAGCCGTGTCCCACCACCCCACAGCGCTCCTGACCCAGGGCGCTCCTTTCCACATTCCAACACCCGCCCTGCTGAGCCACCCTCACCTGTTTTCGTTCTGCAGGAAGTTTTCCTTGCCCAGGTGCTCATAGACCCAGCCAGGAGCGAAGATGGCTGCAGAGAGGCCGTACTGGCGGATCAGGCGCAGGGACTGCAGAGATGAGTGGTGAGCAGCACGGGCCAGGCCAGACAGTCACTCTGTCACCTGTCCCTGCTCTCCCCTGGTTCCACTGGCCCCATGGTTGGGCAGAACACAACAGGGGTGTGCTGCAGCATCTCCGCCTCGAGGTATGAGAGACTGGGATCCTCCAGCTCCCTCTCCATGCGTGGCCAGCAGCTCCAGGGTCCCTCACTCCTCAACAGCTCATCCCCGGGTTAGCAGCMCAGCMCAGCACAGCACAGCCCAGCAGGGCTATCAGTGGGAGCTCAGAACCTTCACTGGGGAAGGTCCAGGGTCACAGTCCGGCCCAGCCCTGTCACACCCACCTTGTCAGTGTCGAAGCCACCACCGATCACATCCCCACGGGCAAAGACATCAACACCGACATAGACGTCGTTTTGACGCTGCCCAGCCAGCCTGCGTGTGCGCTCCAGCTGCTCCTCYTTCCAGTTGTAGTTGGTGAACAGCCCATCACAGGCATCAAAGAACATCCTGGGGATCAGGGTCAGAGTGGCAGCTGCTGTGGCCGCACAGCACCTCACCAATGGCTGTGCAGGTCGTGCCTGATCGTCCCCATGCTGGGTTTGGGGTGGGCTCATGCCCCCTGCCCAGGGACAGTTTTGCTGGCCTCACCTATTCTCATCATTCAGCTCATTCTGCCACTTCAGGGTGCCRTTCTTCAGGACGCTGTCATACCAGATCACCAGTCCTCCCGGCACGGCGCTGTGCACCCGCGCTGTCAGGTCACGCAGGAAGCCGGGCAGGTTCCCCACTGCTGCTGCCTACCAGGACAGAGCAGGAACAGGTGGTGAGGGCACAGGATGGGGGCTACCCATGGGAACAGCACAAAGGCAGGGAGAGGCAGGGAGAGGCAGGGAGAGGCAGGGAGAGGCAGGGAGAGGCAGGGAGAGGCAGGGAGAGGCAGCGGGGCGAGCAGGGCCAGCACAACTCACACTCAGAGTGTTCTCGATGTTGATCAGCCAGCCGTCGAAGCGGTAGTGCTGGGCAATGCGGGCCAGCTGCTCGGCCACAGTGCTGTACACCTCCTCACCGCCGGCCAGGAACGCCTCACACAGCTTCTCCCCGTCTGTCCACTCCGTGATGAATGTGCCTGGGGAGGCAGCGAGGGCAGGGTCAGCTGCATATCCTGCTAAATCCACCTGGCTCCTGGGGCTGGCCCAGGCTCAGCCCTGCCCTCACCCAGCACAGGGACACTGTTCCGGTGTGCTGCATTGGTCCAGACCACAGGCGGGATGGTGACAGTGTGGTGGCTGAAGTAGACAAAGATGTCGATGTAGCGCCAGTGGTAGAAGACATAGGGGTTGCGCGTGGCTGAGCCCTGGATGAACCTGGGAAGAGAGAGGGAAGAGGGTTGGGCAGTGCAGGAAGGACGCTGACGGATGCTGCGGGGCTGGGCAGGAGCCTGACTCACAGCCGGGAGCTGGGCAGAGCTGTGGCACTGATCCACCTCTGAACATCCAGCTGATCCACCTCTGAACATCCCAACCCAAGCAAGGCTCCCCAAGCACTGGTGCCAAGGGCCAAACACCCCATCCCTGCTCACCGGCGGCTGAGCCAGCAGGAGACACGTCAGGCACAAACAGAAATGGCTTGGGGTTTGAGATAYTGAGCTGCACTGTCACACGTCCCACCTGGCACATACCTGTCCTCCATGTAGCCGCCACGCATGTCATGGCACACCAGTGTTCGGGGCCTCCTGCTGTGGAGCGGGGGCTGGCGCTTGGCCAGGGGCACGGCCGACACATTGAACTCATCATCGCTGTTGGGCTGCCAGGCCAGCAGCTCTTCCAGGCCTGACAAGAAGAAGCTGATGGGCTCCGTCGTCTTTGTGTCAAAGTACCTGGCTGGAACAACGGGAGACAGGACAGGGTGAGCAGCGAGCGCTGCCTGTGCAGCTCGGTACCGCAGCGGCACTGTCCCATCCTGGCGGGGCAGAGGGGCAGGGGACCCTCTGGTGGTGCCTCACCTGGCAGCGGCTGCGGGCGGTCGCTGATGGTGGCATGCAGGACAGTGGTTCCCTGGGTGTCCGCCGCCGGCTGCAAGCTGTCCCGGGAGGTGGGTGAGGGCCGAACCGGGCCAGCACCGTGGCCAGCGCCCACCGGGCCCTGCCAGCCCCGGCACCGGTCCTCATCCCGTCCCGGTCYCGGTCTCCATCCCCATCCCCGTCCYCATCCCGGTCCCGGACGCGATCGCGGCCCCGGCCCCCGCCATCCACCTCCGCCGCCGCCGCCCGGCCCGCTCCGCCTCCGCCGGCTCCTCCGCTCCGCTCCCGCTCCCGGCCTCGGTTCCCGTTCTCTTCCCTCTCCGCTCGGGCCGCTCCGCCGTCTCCGCCATGGCGCTGCCGCCGCCGCCGCCGCCGCACTGAGGCCGCCGCTGCCGCCACCGGGCCCGGCTCTCCCGGGGGCGCGGCCCCGCAGCTCCGCCCGCCCCGGCCCGGCCCCGGCCCCGCAGCTCCGCCCCGCCCGTGCCCCGTGTCCCGTGCCCCGTGTCCCCTGTTCCCTGTCCCGGGCCGGGGCGTGTCCTGGGATGCACCGCGTCTCTTGGACAGGGTCGTGTGTCCCGTGTGTCCGTGCACTCGGGGATGGAGATGGTGCCCCAGGGGCCACTGCGGCCGAGCAGCTTTGCCCGTGCCACGGGACAGGGCTGGGGCTCTGGGGTGATGTCCCCACCCCATAGGTACAGCTTGACCAGCCTCATTTGGCTCCCACCATCCACCCACTCCCCACATGTGGGGCCAGGGCTCTATTTAAGGTCATCCYGAGTGCCCCCCAGTCCATTCCCCTCCCCTCTGTGCTTGGGGTGCTGGTTTCCAGCTGCAGCCCTGACGATCCAGCCCCTGACACCCATCTTCACCTCAGACCTATCTCCTCTCTTTGGATGTGCTGGATGCCCTGGACTTGTGACAGCCCTGCCACCCTTCGCAGCCTGTGTGTTGCCAGGCTGACAGTTGTGTCCCTATGCTCAGCTCCCGGTGTTGGGGTGCAGCCGGCCCATGCAGTGCCTGACACAGGTCTCCAGCTCTCCAGGGATGGGCTGCTCTTCCCTCTTCACCCCCAGCTCAGCAGCACCATGCCAGCCCCAGCTCTCAGGGAGCCCCTGCACCCCAGGAGCAGCACCCTGCCCTGAATCCTTGGAGCCCCCACACACACAGGACACTGAGGGTGTGAGCAAGGCTGGAAATGTGGAGTGTTTAATGTGGCACGAGCTGAACGGGAGGTCAGCACGCTGGCCCACACCGCTGCTGCATCTACACAAACATGAAGCCTGGCCAGCAGATAATGTAACGGAAGAGGAAGTGGCTGAGCTGAAGGYTCCGCGCCCAGGGCTGCGGTGGGGAAGGAGCCCCTCCTGAGCAGAGGCTACRGGGAGCAATAACAGGATCTGCAGAGGAACTGATGCAATTCACTCCCTRCAGGGTACCCAGCCCCGCACTGCAACACCCGCACTGCGGAAGGAAAGGGGCCCTTAGTGGTTTGGCCTTTCCTGATGGTGCTGAGCACCTTCTGCCCGTTCCAGCCAGGGAGCACTGCTGCTGAGAGGAGGAACACAGTGCACGTGTTGGTGCTGCCTCGCACCAGGGCACCAGCAGTCACACTGTACCGGTGCCAGCTCAGCCAGTGTCACGACAGCTCTGGAGTGGGGAGAGGGGGTAAGCTCTGCCCACCCCGTGTATGCAGCTGTTTCCCGATCACAAATGTGGCAGGGGCTCAAAACTGCTCCAGCTCTTCCAGGGGTGTCTGGGTGGCCTCGAGGTGCTGGAGTGAGGGAATTCACACAGTGCAGCTGCKGGGGATAGTGGCACTAGGGTGACTAACAGCATGATGGGGGTGGCACTCCTGGGATGAGAGGCACCGAGGCTCCTCGGCCCCCTGGCCTGGCACAGGAGGAGTGGGACGGGCCTGGCGCTCAGGGGTCCCCGCTGTACTTGATGAGGTGGCCACTGAAGGTGATGTAAGTGTCGTACTCATCGCTGAAGACGGCATTCTCGCGCTCGCCCTTGTAGAGCCGCACCCAGACCTCATCCTGCTCCTTCAGCTCCAGCATGACACTCTGGCTCTGCATGATGCTGCGATCGCTCACCTGGGCGTAGAGGATCACCACCTCTGCCTCATTGTGCATGATGTGCAGGTACGTCTCCTTCTGGTTCCAGGTGTGCACATTGAGGCTGAAGTAGTAGATCCCAGGGACGTAGCAGTAAAACTTGCCCGTGAACATGTTGAAGTGGTCGTAGAGGTTGACAAACTCCGTGTCGAAGATGAGGGTCTGGTAGTAGTCGTTGCTGTGCAGGGGTTTCTTGCGGCCCACAGAGAAGGCGGCGTAGTGGCTCTTGCAGCGCTCCCCGGGGGCACCCATGCTGCCCTTCTGTCCCTTGGGCCCCGCGTGGCCCCTGCTGCCAGCCAGCCCTGTCTTGCCGAACTTGCCCTGCATGCCACGCTCACCACGGTCCCCCTTCTCTCCTGGGCAGAGCAGGAGGAGAGTTGGGCTGTCAGGATGGGCCAGTGCTGACCCAGCATTCCAAAAGCCCATTGGCCTGACAGGGAGGGATAGAGCGAGCAGGGACCCCCAGTCCTGCCCCTGCCCCCTCCTCAGGCTCYGATGCTGCTGCCCAGAGGCCACCAGAGCAGCCCACCCCGGTGTGGCTCCTGCCCTCTGTCTGCGCAGGGCACAGGAGCACCGGCACCACCCCAGCTTCTCACTCACAGCGTGCACTGTGAGCCCTGCACAATGCTGACAACACAGCGTGGGGCCCTGCCAGCCCTCACCTTTCAGGATGGTCATGTTGATCTGAGGCATGGGCTGGAATTGGGGGTAGAAGCGCTTTTCGGGTGAGGGGCAGCAGCGGACACAGCGGGGCTGTGGGGTCAGCACCTCCTGGGCACCGTCAGCCTTCTGCTCCTGCGAGGCCCTGGCAGGGCAGAGAGCAAAGCACAACAGGGAGACAGGGAAGGGTGGGGGCCCTCTGCAGTGCCAGGGCTGCCCTGGCCCCCGCTGCAGAGCACCCTGGCTCCGGGGTTCCCTCACCTGGGAGCTTGGTACTGGGCTGCAGCCTCCTTGGGGTCTGTCCACCATCGCTGGTCAGGGATGGAGCTGGTCTGGCTCCCCACGGGGCAGGGCAGCAGGAAGATCAACAGGACAACATGCACCCACAGCCCCTCCATGCCTTGGCAGTGCCCTGTGAGGTGCCAAGGACAGCTGAGGGGGACAGGAATGTGGAGATGCCCAGCCCAGACGTGCCCCAAGCTGTCCTAGGACAGCTGTCCTGCACTGCCCAGCCCCAGGCATCTGTGTGACTCCAACGAGCACTTGGGGAGACCCACACTGGGGCAGTTAGGGGGCTCTGGGCTCAYCAACATGTGGGCTGGGACACTGCAGCCCCTGAGCCCTGGCACATACAGGAGAGGGGATTACCTCAGGAGTTGAGAGTGGAGCAGAGCAGCAGCCTCTGATCAGCCAGTCCTGGACCAAGTGCTACTGCTCCCACTCAGCCTGGTTTCAGCTGCCTCCCATGGACCCCCAAGAGCAGCAATTTAGGGTGTCAGCACCTGAAGAATTACAGACAGCTCCAGATGCCATGGGACAAATGTCAGGATGCAGCCATGGCTGTGTGTGGGACCCCAGCCCGGSCCAGGGAGGTGTCTGCACCCCACACCCACAAAGATGCAGTACCGACCCTGTGAGGGGCTCCTGTGCCCTGGGGCTGCCAGCCCAAGGGGTTAAAGGGGACAAGGCACACTCCCCCAGAAACAGGGATGTGGGCTGGCAGCCCCACCTGGGAGCTGGCTGCCACAGGGAGAAACCTTCCTGCGACCACATCCTGCATGGGGCCAAAACTAATATTTGTGGTGGTGGTGGCACTGTGGCCCAGCCCGCGCACTTCGTGGCCCTTCCCTGCCTTATCAAAACCRTATCTGCTGGAGACATGGGGTCAGGCACGCAGCACCTCGCCCTTTAGCCCCAAGGCACCAGGACAGCCTTGGCCAAACAGGGGTGTAGCACTGCCCAGCGCCGGGCACTCTGCAGCAGCAGGGTCCCAGGCTGTGCTGGGTTGTGCTGCCCAGGCTCTGGCTCAGCCAGTGCCTCCCGGGTTGGGATATGGGTGCGGCCTTTGCCGTTCTCCCCTCCCAAACAGCCTCCCACGGCACCGCCCGGCTGTGCGGGATCCCAAAGCACCGCTCCGAGGGTGCAAAGGGCCCTCCCAGCCCTGTCCCGTGCTCTGCGGCTGGGCCGGGCCATGAAGGGTTTGAGGCACAATCCTGGTGTTTTGGTGAACACCCGGTCTCAGAGCACCTGGGTCCCCCAGCAGTCAGGGACCGGTGGCAGGCCACCGCTGTCCCCAGGTGTGGGGTCCAGGGACCATGTGTGCCCCCACAGCCGTGTGGAGGGCGTTGGAAGGCGGATTCCTGGGTTATGAGTCACTGGAGCTGGGAAGGGGCGGAGGGATCAGGAAAGGCTCCAAAGGGCTTTTCCTGCTGCTCCAACCCTCTGCCAAGGGCCCGGCCCCTTCATACACTTCCCGGGTGCCTGTCTCTGCATCTCTCACCCCATTGTCTCGGTACCGGTGTGGAGAGAAGCAGATCCAGGGACAGAAGCATGGAGGAGTTTAACCAGGGGCTTGTGAGCAGTTCTCACCCTGGAGAGCCTTGGCTCTGTTTCTGGAACAAACTCTAGGAGAGGGATGAGCAGCTCAGTGCAGCCTGCAGGCAGCAGGACCTCCACCCCCAGCTTATTCTCTCTGCCCAGGGTGGTGGCAACAAACTTCTCCACASCACAGCAGCCAGAACCACAGTGCCTCTGGGGTCATGCTGGTGGGCCAGATCCCCCATGTTCTGCTGCAGATGTTGGAATGGTAGCAGAGCTCTTTTTTTCCCTGGAGCAGGGCAGACCCGGCAGGCAGTAGGGTGGGGACTGCAGATGTGGGGAAGGACCATGGGATAGTTGCAGCCCTCCAGTTCCTGCAGCACCAGCAAGATGACACAACTGGGGACCCCAACAGCCACTGTGTTCCCTACAGAAACGCTGAAGGTGGCCCAGCACGGGCTTGATGTGTTTGTAGGGATGGGGTTTTTGGGAAGGCAGGTGTGGCAGGGCTGGGGGGGATCTGTGTCCTCCCAGAGCCACGGTGGGTCTGGCTGTGCCCTCGGAGGGCTCTGTGGGGCTCAGCCGKGTGCTCCCCACGGCTCCCTCGCAGGCCGGGCCGGGCCCCACTGACTGTGCGGGCACAGGGAGCGGTCCGGCTCTCCGGCCGTGCCCCAGCACAGCCGGGCTGTGTCGAGGCGGAGCCGCCTCCCGGTGCCGCGGCGCCGATCCCCAGCGGTGCCCCCCACACGTACCTGTGGGGCCGGCCTTGTCCCTGCCCGCGGCCGCCGCTGCCTCTCCTCGCTCGGCCCCAGCGGAAATGCACTTTTTGGAAGCGCGGGAGGCAGCGGGACGAGGCTCGTAGCCCTCCCCCGCCAGATGTGCGCCCGCAGCTGCCTTAACCATGTGTGCTCCCGGGAGCGGCCGCCGCCCCGGGCCGGGAGCGGGCAGCGGGGGCTGAACGTGCCCGCGGCTCCCGGAGCTGGTGCCGGGCTCGGGATCCCGCGGAGCAGGACCCTGCCTCATGCCGGGAGCGCCGACGCCGCTCCCAGCCCCGAGGGCACAGCCCCACCGGGCTCCAGCCTTTGGCACCCGGACACGCACACGGATCCCAAGCGCGGGGCTACGTCTGCCCCGCTCCCCCAGTCCGAGTGGCGGCGGAACACGGGGCATAATCAGGACAAGGACAGAATGTGTTGCGGGCTGGGCAGGGCTGCACTGGGGTCATGCCTGCAGGGCAGCCGGCCTGTGCCCACCCCACAGAGCCGATTCGCCCCCGCACTGCCTCCGCCGCGGGCTCCAACCGCCCGTGGGCGACGCGCGGCTCCGGTGGGCCCGGCGGAGCGCGGACCACAGCTCCCGGCAGYCCCCGCGGCGCTGGCGGCGGGGCAGTGGGTGGTGGCAGCGCGCGGTGTCTCCTGGTAGTTGTAGTTTGTGGCCCGGACGTGGCGGGCTGGCCGCGGCGCGGGGCCGCCGGGAGCTGTAGGCGGTGGCGGCGGCGGCTGCGCGCGGGGGAGGCGGTGCCGCGGTGAGCGGGGACGCGAGCGGGGGGCGCG